GCTAGACACAATAGGGAGGAGGTGGGTGCGTTTTTTATGAGTGTGTGTAGCAATGTGAACCTGAGACAAAGTGTCTGGGTAAATACAACACTGCTACCAGTGGGATAAGAAACAGAGAGAGGCAGACATAAAGAGACAGAGGAGTACAAATATTACAAATTAAGCAGCAACAAAATCATTAAGTGGAAAACCTCCTCATATTTGAGTCCAATTCTTTTTGAGGAGATTGATACCCACATATGGCAAGAAGGGAATAAAAGAGGTCAACAAGAAAGAGACAAAGGCAGAAGAAAGAGACAGAGAGGGAGGGGGTGTTGATACGAGTAAGTGTTGGCATTACCATGTTTTGTCTCTGTAGTGGCTCAATAGCAGTTGAATCTCATAACCCCCTCTCCCCAACACGCATGCACACGCACACCCACACATGCACACACACACACACGCACACACACACAAACGCACACACACACACACACAAAGCCATTGCTGAGCATTAATTACATATCTGGTGGAACTTGGACCATAAACTCTGTTACCCTGCAGGTAACAATTTGCAAATATTTCTATCATTAACGTTTGTCTTTCTCCCCATAGATCGCACACCTGGACCAGTAATTTTGTGTTTATTTTTGCTTTCCTGTACTCTCTTATCAGTTAGTCAGTGCATAACACAACCTATTCTAAGCCTGGTTCTGTTGGAGGTTTTTAACTGTTAAAAGGGATTTTTTTCCCTTTCCACAGTTGCCTGCATGCTTTCTTAGGACAGGAGGGCTTTCTTAGAAAGCTCCCCCCCACCACCTTTTCAAATTTGCATTTTATAATGTATGTGAATTATTTGTACTGAGACAACATTGATTGTGAATTGGTACAATACAAATACAGGTGCTGGTCAGAAAATTAGAATATCAAGAAAAAGTTGATTTATTTCAGTAATTCCATTCAAAAAGTGAAACTTGTATTTTATATTCATTCATTACACACAGACTGATGTATTTCAAATGTTTATTTCTTTTAATGTTGATGATTATAACTGACAACTAATGAAAACTCCAAATTCAATATTTCAGAAAACTAGAATATTACTTAAGACCAATTAAAAAAATGATTTTTAGAAATGTTGGTCAACTGAAAAATATGAACATGAAAAGTATGAACAAGAAAAGTATGAGCATGAAAAGTATGAACAAGAAAAGTATGAGCATGAAAAGTATGAGCATGAAAAGTATGAACATGAAAAGTATAAGCATGAAAAGTATGAACATGAAAAGTATAAGCATGAAAAGTCTGAGCATGTGCAGCACTCAATACTTAGTTGTTGCTCATTTTGCCTGGATTACTGCAGCAATGCTGCGTGGCATGGAGTCGATCAGTCTGTGGCACTGCTCAGGTGTTCTGAGAGTCCAGGTTGCTCTGATCGTGGCCTTCAGCTCTTCTAATTGTTGAGTCTGGTGTATCACATCTTCCCCTTCACAATACTCCATAGATTTTCTATGGGGTTAAGGTCAGACGAGTTTGCTGGTCAATTAAGAACAGGGATACCATGGTCCTTAAACCAGGTACCGGTAGTTTTGGCACTGTGTGCAGGAGCCAAGTCCTGTTGGAAAATGAAATCTGCATCTCCATAAAGTTGATCAGCAGCAGGAAGCATGAAGTGCTCTAAAACTTCCTGGTAGATTGCTGCATTGACCTTGGACCTCAGAAAACACAGTGGACCAACACCAGCAGATGACATGTCACCCCAAACCATCACTGACTGTGGAAACTTGACACTGAACCTCAAGCAACATGGATTCTGTGCCTCTCCTCTCTTCTTCCAGACTCTGGGACCTTGATTTCCAAAGGAAATGCTAAATTTACTTTCATCAGAGAACATAACTTTGGACTACCAAACTACTTTCTGTGTAGAAGAAGAAACCTGAGGGAGATTGGGGACTGTAAGGTTGTGGCAGGGGAGAGTGTGGCCAGACAGCATCAGATGGTTGTGTGTAGAATGACTGTTGTTGTGAAGAAGAGGAAAAGAGTAAAATCAGAGAAGAAGACCAAATGGTGGAAGCTGAAGAAAGAAAAATGTTTTGATAAATTCAAAGAGGAGCTGTTAAAGGCTCTGGGTGCTAAGAAGGAGCTTCCAGATGACTGGACTACTACAGCAACAGTAATTAGAGAGACAGGTAGGAAGGTACTTGTTGTGCCATCTGGACAGAGAAAAGATAAGGAAATCTGGTGGTGGAATAGTGAAGTGCAGGAAGCTATTCAAAGAAAGAGGTTAGCCAAGAAATATGACAGTAAGAGGACTGAAGAGAGGAGACAGGAATATAAGGAGATTGGATGTAGAGCAAAGAGGGAGATGGCAGAGGCAAAGCAGAGGGCATATGATGAGTTGTATGGGAGGCTGGACACTAAAGAAGGCGACAAGGACTTGTACCGACTGGCGAAAGAGGGATCAGCCTGGAAAGGATGTGAAGCAGGTTGGGCTTGTTAAACATAGGAATGGTAATATTCTAACAAGTGAGGAGAGTGTGACGGGCAGATGGAAGGAGTATTTTGAGGAGCTAATGAATGAAGCGAATGAAAGAGAAAGAAGAGTAGAGGTCATTGAAACTGTTGATCAGGAAGTGGGAAAGATTAGTGAGGGTGAAGTTCTGAAAGCTCTGAAAAGAATGAAAGGAAAGGCAGTAGGACCTGATGACATACAGTGGAAGTTTTGAAATGTCTTGGAGTTGTCTTGGCAGTGAGGTTTTTGACTCAAATATTCAATGGAATATTTGAGGGTGAGAAAATACCTGCAGACTGGAAAGAAGTGTGCTGGTGCCCATTTTTAAGAACAAGGGTGATGTACAGAGTTGTAGCAACTACAGGGGAATTAAGTTGATGAGCCACACGATGAAGATCTGGGAGAGTTGTAGAAGCTAGACTTTGACAAGAGGTGACTATTTGTGAGTGTGGTGGTACCAAGTGGCTCTCATTAAAATTAAGTGCAATAATCTGGAGAACACAAACAGCAATGGTCCTCCATAGAGCCAGAACACTGGTAATCTTCCGTAGAGACAACAGTTGTAACCTCAGTGGAGACAAAAGAGCAGTGATCCCAACCTCAGCAAAGGACCTATAAAACTAATCACCAACAGTAGTAAATTTGAAGCTGACAATGAGTTGGGATTCAATTACTCACCTGCTGACACACACAGGAGGAGGAGGAGGAGGAAAGCAGCAAGCTTGATGTTCACCTGCGATCACACCAAGATGAGCACTCTGAAGATCAACTACAGTGCAACAAAGGAGGACACCTACCCACGAAGGCCATAACAGCACGCACAACACAATCAGCTGCTCAGCCACAACCAAACCCCACAGGTTGAAGCCACGTAGTGGGAGCAGGAGGAAAACTGGTGCCAGAAGAATTACCACCTCCTTTTATACTCTGCCTACCTCGTTTACCAGGAAGTGACGTTTCTCTAACCAGGTATATTTTCATACTGCTACATGAGCAGCAGTATGGGTTCATGCCAAGAAAGAGCACCACAGATGCCAGCTTTGCTTTGAGGATGCAGATGGAGAAGTACAGAGAAGGTCAGAAAGAACTCCATTGTGTCTTTGTGGATTTAGAAAAAGCATATGACAGGGTGCTGAGGGAGGAGGTGTGGTATTGCATGTGGAAATCAGGAGTGGCAAAGAAGTATGTTAGACTGGTACAGGACATGTAAAAGGTTCCATGCTCACAAGTTCTAAACAATCAGGTGTCAATCAAACAGACACCGGAGTGTCTAGCACCTGAGGTACCAAAGGTCTAACAGCAGAACAAGCTGTTTATCGTTTGCAGAGAAGATTAAATGTTTTTCATGGGAGAAATCCACATACTCAACTCTGCTGCTCATTCATAAATGCATTTTTGTTACAAATGCTGCACCATTTCAAGGGGAATTAAATAGGCTTTGTCACAGTATATGTATTGCCATGAAGCATGGTTACAAACAAATAAAAGAAAAAAATTTCTACCAAACACAAATTTTCTTACTTTGAGATATGTTGTTTAATAATAATAATAATAATAATGTTAGATTTTTTCCCCTAGAACTATGAAGCCAAAAGCTTTCTATTCCACAGAGAGTTGTATAACTAAAAGTCTTCTGTGGTTTCCCCAGAGCCACACAATCTACAGAAAAAGCTTTCTAATTCAATCATAAAACTTTATTGATCCTTCCTAAACGTGAAATTATTATTGAACCTAATTTGTCCTTTCCGTTTTCCTCTTTTCATCCCTGTTCCCAGAAAGTGCCAGTGTTCATTGTTAATAATCTGTCGGGTATTAAATATTAAGCACCTTGTGGATTTATGAACCCAAAAGTTAACGACTGTAGCTGCTATTTTCACGTGCTCTGAAGACACACTGCGGGCTGGGGTTAAACAGAGTTGTGAATGAATGAATCATGTAGGTCAGTCACAGACTATGTCCAACTTTATTTACTGTTTTATTAACAAAGACAAAATACTGTATAGAATAGATGCAAATAAGAAAAGTTGTTGGATGTCCTGTTGATCAATGCAGCCAACTGTGGCACTTACATACAACTAGACATTTTAAAATAAGCCATTTTAAATCTACATTGTCCAAGTCATATTTCCAGTTGGTAAAACGAGTTATTAACTCCATAAAATCCAAAAGGAGCTTACAAACCTTTACAAAAAATAAAAATAAATACATACAAATTTGGATCAGGTATGGAATACATTATATTAATAATTAAAACTATTCTAAGTGAACACTGGTACTGAAAGAACACACTCATGAAATTCATGTTAATGTTGTTTAAAACATTTTGAGGAAAAATTCAAAGTATTGAAAGCAACCCTCAAAAGCCGAAAGAACGAGAGTTAAAAAATCAAGTGCTAAAGATGAGAGATCAGGAAATGTACATCACAAGAGAAGCTAACTCAGGGAAATGAAGACAGATGAAAAATGTGCAAGCTTTAATAAAGATAGAAAACAGCTGCAGTTGACTCACCAGGACTCTGTTCTCCATCTTCTCTGCTTTAATCTCCAGTTTGACTGCTTTCGTCAGAGAGAACTTCACCCTTTTCCCCACTGCATCCCTCACACTCTCTGCACACAGGAGAGGGGGGGAAGATATGAGGAATGATTCAAAGTCAAGTGGAAAGTCTGTCACATTATCTACACGTCAAAACGTCGTTACTTGATCAAAAAGAAGAAAAGACAGTAATAAGGTGCAAAATCTCAAGTGAACTGAGGTGCAAGAGAATCTTGAGATTTTACTTTGCTTTGTTTAGCTGACATAAATCAGTGTGCTCTTGACATGGGGGAGGGGGGTTTCCTATTTCTGTTAATAAGAACAGATATTTGATAAAGATATTTAACCAAGTACAATTTTAATAGACCGCTTAAAAAAATGGGAACTCATTTGCATTTCCTTCCATGAAGCCTTCTTCTGAGGCAAAGGTCTATCAATTAAAGTGATTGTACAGACACGAGAAACCACAAATGGTATAGGTCCTTGATAAAACACAAAAGACTGTAGAAGTAACCTAAAAAGCACATTTTAGAAATACAAATATATACAGTATGTCAAGTACTTTTATTCCTCCAGCTGTTGTACGAGTATTCCTTCATGATAAATACTTCACCAGCCTTGCAAAATTATTAATATTAATTTAATAATTCTGATTAAAAAAAACAAAAAAAACTGTTGTAGATCATGATCAAGTTGAAAATTAAAGACCAATTCTACTGCTTCCATTCCTATCTTAGAATATTTCAGAAAGTCACTGATAAGAAAAGTTAAAGATCGATCCAAGTATTGGCAATATTAATACAAACTTCTTGCAGTAAAGCAAACTGGACTAAAGCAGCAGGAACAGTTCATCAAAACAAGACAGATGCTCAAACAGGATAAACTCCTGTGGCGGCTGATCAAAAGTTTGGCACAACACCTGCTTGTACACGTGAGGCATCTGTTGACCCCCCCAGCGGGCCAGGTCACTGTTATCATGCTCATCAGACTTGTCTCTCCTTTTCTGCTCCTCCCTTCTCCTTTGCTCCTGTCCAGCTAACTTTAACATCCTCTGCACCTCCTCCTACTGTCTCTCAGGTGGTGCTCAGAGCATTCTTCTACAGGTTCATCTTCTCTGACTGCCGGTTTTTAAAATTCTGCCAGGTTATATACATATATGCTCTTCAGTTCTTTTTCAAACTTATTCTCTGACAAATATATTATTTTACTTAGGAGCACCGCTCTCAAACTTCCTTCACCGACACGTGGACAGCTGTCAGTCAATCATTGAGGGACACGCCTTTAAACTAGTGATGCATATTATTGGTCAGCTCATGGACCATGGGTGACTCTTAATTTTGATCAATCAGTCGCCACAAACAAACTTTAATCTAAAGTGATTGATAGAAAACCTGACAAATCTCATCTTGTGACCTCAAAACAATAGGCCCCCTGTGGGCTCCTTCAGCCCAGGTAAGCTCATGCACAGTGGTGGGCACAGTTCCACTAATCTGCTAACAGCAGAACTAACTTTCTGGTTAGCAGATTAGTGTTTTTGCTAACTTTGAAAACCTTTAACAACATAGCTTCCACTACATTTAATTCCGATGAATTAATGTCTGCTAAGTTTTGTAAAGACAGTACTCCACAGTGTTTTACACAGAGCGATGCTGTGCAAAGCGATGCAAAGCAATGCAATGCAATGCAAAGCAATGCAACGCAACGCAACGCAACGCAACGCAACGCAACGCAATGCAAAGTGATGCTATGCTAAGCCCCACCCGGTGATGTCACCAACCTGGTAGCATTCATTTTCCTCCTCTACCACAAACTCTGACTCATGGTCTCAGTTTACAGACAATAACAGAAACTAACATAGATGCCAAACCAAACTAGAACAGGGAAATAACTTGAAAAACCAATTTTCACACTCAGAAACATCAGTCAGAAGCATTGAACACACAATTCCTACCCAGCATACTTTGCAAAAGTTAGTGCTTTAGCGTTAGCTTCTGTTATTATCTCTTTAACAGTTCAGCATAAGTAAAGCATTTTTGTAGTTAGCCATTTAGCAGTTAGCAAAGTTAACTTTTGTTAAATGTGCCTACCACTGCCTGCACATTAAGTAGGCCCAGAGTATATATAGCACAAAATATCCAATCAGTAATCTATTACCTGAGCACGTGATTGCATGATCAACATTTTTAACAAATCCCCAAAATACTCTGCTATAAAATGTCCAAAGGTGAAAGAAACCCACAAAACAATCAAAGAATGAGGTTAAAAAAAAAATCTTTAAACTTCAAAACAAAGATGCAAGAGTGGTCCAAATGAACTGAGTAAATGAATGACAGTACATTGTTTCATGTTTTATGAGTTTCCTTTCAATCACAGCAAGACAAATATATTAGTTGCAATCAGAATTATTCAATACCCACTCCACCCATTAAAAAAGTTTCAATGATTCATCAATTAAAGTTTCTTAAAAGAGTAAGAATCTGCTTTGGATTAATTATTTATGAGTTTAGTGATCCATAAAAGCAACATTGAAAATGCATGATGTAGTATTTGTGAGTAACACTATATTTTGTGAAGCAAGGCATGTCACAAGTCCTCAACCCCTACAAAATATTATTTTTAAAGCTGTTTTGACAGTTTTTCAGGCCCAAAATGGAGTTGAATCATAATCAAGCATTTGAGAAGTAGATCATGACCTTTCATTTGCTACAGCTGTGAAATGTAGAAATAATCTCCATCCATGAAGGTATTAAGGTGAGTTGCAATGATAGGAAAGACAAATTATCTTCCAGAAAAACAGTGAGGAGATTATTTCATTACCCCTGCAGGACTTTGGGTATAATTTTTTTTACCAGGAATGTTACATTACATGAGACACCATTGGGAGAATTATAAAGTTCACAACCTATGGAAGAGCTGCAAACCTGCCTGGCTGTGCAGGAAGCCCAAAAATTCATCAAGAGCTCTGAGCAATTTAGTCCGTACAGCTAATAAAAACCCTTGTGCAAGACACCTACAGGATGACATGACGACGGCTGGTACAAGAGCCTCAGTGGCAGTAAGTCAAGCACTGCATAAAGAAGGTCTTCATGCTTGAACTCCAAGACGCACTCTTGATCACAAGGAACATCAAAGGTCAACTCAAATATGCAAGGAGGAAGTTGGATAAGTCTACAGAGTTCTGGGATATAGTTTTATGGAATGATGAAACCAAACTGGAACTGTTTGGACAAATGGACCAGCGGTAAGTGTGGCGTGTGATAGGCCAGGTTTATGATCAGTGGAATACAATCCCTACAGTCAAGCATGGAGGTGGAACATTGATGATGCGGGAATGCTTTTCTGTGGCAGGAACTGATACTCTTGATCATGTACATGGCATTATGAATTCCCAGAAATATCAGGCCATGTTGAAGAGGAATGTGATGCCTTCTGTCAACAAATTAAACCTTGGTGATCACTGGACGTTCCAGCAAGACAACAATCCCAAGCACACCCACAAGTCAAACAAAGCTTGGTTGACAAAAACGATCCTGGAATATCCTGGAGTGGCCTTCTCAGTCACCAGATTTAAATCCAAATCAAAAATCTTTGGTGGGATTTAAAGAAGGCAGTTGCAACAAAGAAGCCATCAAACATCAGATGGAAGCTTGTGCATGTGAAGAATGGACAAAAAATTCCAGCTGAGAGATGTAGGAAGCTTGTCAGATCATATCAAAACCATTTGATGGCAGTTATAAGAGCAAATGGACGCTCCACAAAGTACTAAAGTTGGGAGTTGAATAGTAATGCACACTCAAACATGTTAAACAGAGGAACAGCTTCCACCCTGAAGCTGTTTGACTCATAAATCCCTAACCAGGATAATCAACGTAAGGAAAAAAAATCACTGTAATGACACTTTAATTGGTGATATGTGACTTATCTGTGCTGCTGATCTCATGCTGCTGATTATCTCATGCTGCTGTATTCATTCCTACCCATCTCCTCACTATACTCATGTTCGGGCTGCTGTTGATACACAGTATTATTACTAGTATTATTTTACATTATTAGTGTTTAGCGTACATCTTAAATCCTCATATACAGTTTCTTTTTATACTTTATATTTTTGCTATTTTGGGGTTTAATGGGACCTTGTGTGCACAATTTCATTCCACCTCATGTACCAAATGTGATGCGAATGACATTAAAGAAACTTGAACCTTGAAAAGTTACATTTTTCACTTGAACTTCAAAGTTACAATGACTCAAATATGTAGGTTACCAATAACATTTTTTGTTGTTCAATGAGGTATTTTTGTCTTTATTGTCATCCACGCTAATAAATGTCTGTCGAGGCTGCGGGGGTTGATTGCAACTGGTTGTGTCTGTATAAGAACTGGTAGTTCAGTGGGGATACTGGCACAGAGGCTGGCGCCACATGGAGCCAGTTAGTCCGGACGCATGGCTACAACACAAAATAAAGCCGTGTCTGTTCTTACCCAGGAGCTCTTTGGGAACCTCTGCCACTTCGTCGCTCATTTATTTATTTGATTTTATTGTTTGCTGCAAACAGAATCCAAAAATAGCGAGAAGAATTCGACCAGCACATGGGATTCAAGCCACAAATATCCAGAGAAGGAAGAAAAACCGCGCGTGGGGTGTCAGGTGGTGCCTCTGCAGCCGGTGCGTGTCTGCCGGTTACAATGCGCTCCTCTCCCTCTCCTCCTCCCGCGGGCTCCGGACAACGTGTCCCCTCCAGACTGGACGCATCTTTCTCTCGGGTGAAACGACGCAGTGGTCGGGGGTGCTCCTGTTCTGAGGTGAGGGTGAGAAAAATAGATTAAAATCTGGTGAAATTATTGGCTGGATGAAAACAGCACAGATTGTGGGCATCCCTCCTCCCAGACTGTGGTCCCACAGCCGGCCTTACACAGGCAGCCAATAGGAGCCGGAGCCCCGCCCCGCTCCGTGATGCCACAGCCGGGGAGAGGATGGAGGCGGCCGGTGGTGGAGGGTGCTGATGGGAACCAGGGACCTCTAGTGGTTACAAAACAAGTCCGCAACCTTAATAATCAAAAGAGCCATTTTTAAACCTTCATTCTCAATTTTTCAATTTATTTTTTTTATTATTAACAGCATTACAAATATGGTATCGATATCAGAGATATTCGAATCTGAGAAAGCCAGCACAGGTTGCTTCCAAACACACAGAAATAATAATAATAATAATAAAAAAAAAATATATATATATATATAAAACAATAATAAATACAAGAATCAAATAGAATAAAATAACAATAAATAAATAAATAAGCAAGTAAAATAATTTTAGAACTAGTTTGAAGGAACGATCCACAATAATTCAGGGAATAGGATTGTGGAATGGTTTGGATGATAACGTTAAAAATGCCAGATATACATTTAGGAGACTGATAAAGACGAGTTTCTTGAATGGAAATGGAAATCGTTAATATAAATCTACTTAAGTTGTTGTCTGATTTGATTTAGATGTTTGAATTTTTATGTTTTTAACTTGGCCAGATTGTTATTATATTTGTGAATTATATTTTAATTTAGATTATGTAAAAATATTTTTGATTTAATTTAGAATTAAGTAAAAAGGGGAAGTTTTCACAAGACTAGTTCTTCTTCTGCCACCTTTCATTTTATTTTATTTACAATTTTTTGATTGTATTGTGTGTGTATATATATATATATATATATATATATATATATATATGTATATGTGTGTATGTATATCTCTTGTGTTTAGTTTTTTTATTGTCATGTTTTTAAGTGAAATGAATAAAATTTATAAAAATAAATAAATAGACAAGTAAAATAAAAACTAGGGGTTTTCCAGTAGTTTCAGTTAATTTATCATATGAAACAACTCCACATCTTGATGTTTGTCCATGAACTTCATAGATAAGAAGAGGTGGCAGAGTTCCTTGTGAAAAGTGGGGAATGATGGTTTTGTCTTAAGGAAACGGCACTTGTGAATGAAATATTTGCCCATAACAATAATTACATTTAATAACCTTTCAAGATCTTTTTCTTTTCTCAGGGATCCAAAAATAATGTCATTCTAAGCAAATTCACGTAAATTTGGAATTTTAGGGAAAAGCCAGTAGTGCACGTCATCCCACAAAGCTTTAAAATACATACATTCACAGAAAATGTGTTCTGTTGATTTAATATTATCATCACAAAATGAACAAGTGTTGTCATCAATTGCAAAAGGAAGTCTGAGGAATTCCTTAGAGGGGTAAACCCCTGAAAAGGTTTCAAAGTGGACTTTCTTAGCTTTTGGAGGAATGGGAAGATTTAAATAATTTGTTCTAATTTTTTTCTTTTGATCATTTGAGAAGAAATGTGAAATAAAATTTGGGTTAGATACCAAGGGAAACAGAGTGTTAGTAAAATATTCCCTAATTTTAGAATTTTTAAGTTTATTATTTGTAATGTTGTGCCCATTAATCAGAAGTCCAGGCAGAACTGGACTTCAATAAGCAGGTTCTCATAAAGGCTTTTAGCTGTACATAAAATGTTTGGCGGAATAGCTCTAATAATTTTTTGAAATTCACTTTTATTTGCTTGCAGGTTATATTTAAGTGAAATATTCAAAAGACATAAGACCTCCATCATTTAATAAATGCATCACAGACCAAATACCTTGTTCAAACCAATTATGTGCAAAGATTGATTCATTTCTAACTTTTATGTAACGACAGTTCCACAGGGGAGTGTTGTGTGGGCTATAGTTATTTTTGTAGATTAATCTCCAGTATAATAAAACTTGCTGGTGAAAGAAGGAAAGCTTTACAGGCAGTTTTTTAACATCAAAGTCACATTTAAGAAGGAAGTTAACTCCACCCAGATTAGAAACTATTTTTCTAGGAATCTAAGTTTATATGATGAGATTGGAATTTAGAGGGTGATCTATCAAGCCATTCATTATACACCATATTGAAATCACCTCCTAATATCAAACTGTTTGTGGAATATTTTTGAGATGGTTCTTTCAGATGACTGGTTATTTCGTTCAGTAAGGATCTGTTCTGGGTGACACTGAAGCCATAAACATTACAGTGGATCAGAAAACTGTTTTCTACTTTGAGTACACAGATTATCCAGTGTAGCACGGTGGCACAACTGGTAGAGCTGCTGCCTCTCAGCGAGCAGGTCCCTGGTTCAAACCCCGGTCCAGGGGCCTTTCTGGGTGGAGTTTGCATGTTCTCTCCGTGCATGCGTGGGTTTTCTCCGGGTGCTCCGGTTTCCTCCCACAGTCCAAAAACATGCATGTTAGGCTGATTGGTAACTCTAAATTGTCCCTAGGTGTGAATGAGAGAGTGAATGGTTGTTTGTCTATGTGGCCCTGTGATGGACTTGCGACCCATCCAGGGTGTACCCCGCCCCTCGCACAGTGATTGCTGGACATGGGCACCAGCGACCCCCGTGAAATGGAATAAGCGGGTAAAGATAATGGATGGATGGATGGATTATCCAGTGTCCTAGACTGTCTTTCCTATGAGTTTCTAATTTGTTCCTAAAGTTTTGAAATAGTAAAGCAACACCAGCAGATCCCCTCCCACCCCCCATTGATTAGACCAGAAATTCTCATCTGCCTCAACAGAGTGTGTTTCTTGTAAAAATATGCAGTTAGCTTTTACATTTTTACAAAACAAAACTATTGATTTTCTTTTAACACAATCTCTCAAGCCCCTAGTATTTAAAGACACACAATTAAAATTAGAAAGAAAAACGGACATAAAAGTGCCAGAAAAAAGATACTAAAGAGAAGGTAACAGAACTTGAAGTGCTCAGGTAAAGGTGTAATGATGAAACACTAACTCAATTCAATTCAATTGAATTTACGTAGAACAGAGCACTTGACCTCTAACCAAAAAACATGAATATACTTACCAAATACGTTTTATTAAGCATGTGAACTTTGAATCTGCCCAATTAAAATTTAAAACAGCCTTATTTACTCATTTAGCCTATTTAACCAACAGGCATTTAAGAAATGAATAATGGAATGTAACTCTTATTGAACCATAAGCTAACACCTTATGTTGCTACAGTTGTGTGTGATTATTAAAGTTGGTTCTTCAATCAATCAGGGGATACCCGAGCTCCGTTGATGTAGCCGACGTGCCCTCGGTAGTAGACCTTCTTTCCCTCGCCTCTGGCTTGTTCCATTTTGGGCAGCTCTTGCCTCCCTGTCTTGTTTGCAGAAATCTTGTTTGAAGAAGATACACAGCTCCTTGCACATCTTGGAATCTTTGGTGAATTTCCAGAAGGCATCTCGGTGGCGTCTCATGCTGAACTGAATTAGTATTTGGCTGTGTTTTGCTTCTTTTTTCCCCAGATGATGCACAGTGTCCACTGTGTTGCCGATTGATGAGGCTCAAGGTGGTGCGATCTTAGCTAAGATATCAAGGACTTATTTGCGAGTCTCTTCATTATTCATTTTTTTAAGCCCTGGATTTTCAAATTCCAGCGGCGTTTATAGCGTTCTAGTTCCAGCAATCTCTCCTTCATCTCCACATTTTCTTTGATGAGCGCAGGAATATCTTTTTCCAGGCCAGATGGTTTACTTTTAGTCTTTTATATCGGCTGCGTTCATTTCAGCTAGCTTGGAAATATTATAGCTACCATTATCATGTTGTCACGTAGCTGCACACTGAAGTCATCAATCTTGTTTGTTAGCTTGTTTATGGCTTCCATGATCAAGTTGTTGACTTCCTCATTTTGGGACACAATTACCTTGCTGGGTGGTGTTGGAGTTGTGATGAGAGTTGGGGGAGATTTTCTTTTGGTTGACGATGTTGAAGTCTCCATAGAGTATCCGTGGTCATCAACTGGGGAGCACGTTTTAGCGGTTACTGATAGTTTGGTTGCAGTATCAGCTTTTCCCCGTTTCATTTCTTACGCCGTTTGAAATTTTGAGAAGAAAAATATTTAAATGAAGGATTATGTCAGTACAAATTTATAGGCAAAATTAGTAATCTATTTGGTGCTCAGAAACTGAGGTCTAAACCGTTAAATCGGGATTAGTGCATTACGGCTTAAAGGAAGCTGCCTGCCCGGATCGCCATTTGGCCAGAAGTCTCCTCCTTCATTCTCTAAATTAAAAGTGTTCAGAGCCGCAAGAACCTGCTACACTGTGGTTATCAACTGGTGGTCCATGGGCCACTTTAGGTTTGGAGGACACTTTTGTGGCCAGTAGGGGTGACATTATAAAGCTAAAAATTGTTGCAGCTCGACTCTTAACTAGGGATGGGGCCGATCCGATCCAGTATCGATATCGGCCTCCGATACCAGCATAAGTTATGTATCGGATTTTTCCGATCCACCTGCCGATATTTCCGATCCATGATGCATGTTGGCTTCAAACTATGGAATGGATTTCCTGAACGGTGGCGTGTCTCATGAACCCAGAGTAATAAGACCCGCCGCTCATTCAGGAAATCCATTTCATAGTTTGCAGCCAGCTACAACGTGAGGACTGGGTTAGCAGCACTGTGGCTAACAGCTAACAAACTTTTCATCTAAACATGTCCACTGTGTGGAAGTATTTTACACTAAAAACACCACAAAACAAGACAGCAACGTGCAATGTCTGCAGAACCATAGCACCACATTAAACCACGGTAGTTAGATTTACGATGGACATTCAAGCTCCGTGGCTTCAGCTGGGCGCTGCTCTTTGCTCAACCCACAACAGGCGACTCGACCCCGGCCAGCCGCATCCAGTCTGCCCGTCTCCGAGGAGGGACAGACTGTGCGCAGCTGCCCCAAATCAGGCTGCCTGCTTCGGACTGAACAAGAAGAAGACATTGCTGAAACCACGGAGCTCAAATGTTTACAGAGAAGTTGCTAAACTTAATCATGATTCATGACCAACTGCTATCAGTTGTAGAAAACGAAAGATTTCACAGCTTCATACTGGAAAGGGCTCTATTAATAAAGCTTGATTGATTGATTGAGGGCAGCACGGTGGCGCAACTGGTAGAGCTGCTGCCTCTCAGTGAGCAGGTCCCTGGTTCAAACCCCGGTCCAGGAGCCTTTCTAGGTGGAGTTTGCATGTCTCCCCCCCACCCACCGAACATAGGAGTAGGATCTGCGGTGGGAGTGTGGAAGTGGTCTCCAGCTAGTACTTGGGTGTGCACCTGAATGACAACCTCAGCTGGAGCAACAACACCACCAGCCTGAACAAGAAACCTCATCAGAGACTCTACTTCCTCAGACGGCTGAGACGAGCTGGTCTGGGAAGCTCAGTCCTCACCTCCTTCTACAGGTGTGCAGTGGAGAGCATCCTGTGCCCTGTGCTCCAGCATCAACGTGTGACATGGAGGCTGTTCAGCTGCAGAAAGAAAAGCTTTGCAGAGAGTGGTGAAGGATGCACAGAAGTCTGTTGGAGTCAGCCTCCCCACCATCACAGACATCTACACCTCCAGATGCAGGAAGAGGGCCACCTGCATCATGAAGGACCCCACTCACCCAGCACACACACTTTTTGCCCTGCTCCCTTCAGGCAGGAGGTTGAGGAGCATTAAGTGTAGAACCACTAGGCTGAGGAACAGCTTCTACCCTGAGGCTGTTAGACTCATGAATCACTAATCAGGAAAATAACAGTGAAAAAAAAATCACTGTAATGCCACTTTGATTGTTGATATGTGCTGCTGATTCTCCATGCTACTGATCTCATGCTGCTGATTATTTCATGCTGCTGTGTATTCATCCATACTCATCTACTCACGCAGACTCATGTTCATGCTGCTGTTGTTTGTCACGTTTTTAAAAATGTATTTATTGTATTTTTACTTGAGCGAATTTCTTAGATGACGTTTTAGATCCTTATTTCTGTTTCCTTTACAATTTATATTCTTCCTATTGTCGGATGTAACTGGGAACCTGTGAACACAATTTCATTCCACCTCATGTACCACATGCAATGCGAATGACAATGAAGAACCTTGAATCCTTGAATAATGTGAAATATAAAATATGGCAAAAGTTAAATTTAGCTTCCTTTTCTTTTTTTTTTTCAGACAGCAAAAGTGAATAGAGTAAATAAATTAGTGTACCGGTCTTAACTAATATTTTGTTCAAAAATATAGTTGAAGAATTTTTTTAGGCAAAAATATAGATGTTAAATCTCCGTAAGTGTGGCAATTTTTCCAGAAGTGGCACATTTAAATCTACTCCTGTGTTTTTGGAAATGGAAAGCTTTGCTGGCAGAGTAGTTGACTGTCTGGGCGGACGAGTAGTTTCAGCAAGTTTCTCTGTGATTTTTTGCTATTTGTCAAGTGTTTGTGGCCATTTGTGAGCTGTGCCACATTGTGGTGTATGTGGCGACTAATTACAGGTTATAAAAACAGTATAAATAAGATCTTGACAATAATCCTTTCACAAAAACCTGTCTTCCTACACCAATTACACAAACCTGCTTCCAATTAATTACAAAGTATTTTTACTAATAAGCCATTTTACAAAACTGAGATTCAACAATTTTTTGTAATGATTTTACACTTCATATAAATGTAAACAAACCCCATAAAATGCTCTTTCATACATGCATGCATACTTTTATACATACCTTTTTTCTTGGGGTTTTTGTGCAAAAAAACCTCCAATATGACAATATATATATTGTCAATTAATGACTTTAAGCAATGCCATTTAAAGTATTTTAATATAGTAGTGTTCACAACTTTGTTACACAAGCTTAAAAAGACCAGCAAATATTTACAACACTGCTCAAAGTTATATTATAAAAGCAATAACACAAAATATAAAAAAATATCCCTTCATAAAGTTGCAGCATTTGAAATCCAGTATTTCTGATAAAAGCTATGCACACAAGCCTTTACATTTTCAGAAATTACACTTTAAATAAAAACAATTGCATTCATTTATACATTCAAATAACCAATGAAAAATAACAACAGCAACAACAAAACCAAGAAATAGACTAGCTTCATGAGTCAGTTGACCTGAACAAATGACTGAAAGCAACAACAGGTCTGAAAATGAAATAATTAAAAAAAGGTTTTGGGGCTATAAGAATATTTACAACTTATATATACTGTAGACAAAAGGTGTATTAGTATTACTTATCTTATAAAACCAAATACCTAAACCAAACTCTTGGCTTGGTTTAGTTATTTGACATGAAATCAAAGTTTAAAAAAGGTTTCTAATTTGTCCTTTTTTTGGTGTAGTTAGACCAAAACATACCACTGGATAGCCTGATGTGCCTACATCTCTGCCTCATAAATAGTGTCATAGTTTGTACATTTAATGTGTTTTTAGTGATTGCATTTGTGTTTTAAAATGCATTAGGGTTTTGAAATGGCTTGAACTCTGAAGATCCAGCACTCAGCACTTCAATCATTCAATGCCTTGAGTGCTTTAAAACACGAGTCATCCTGGAGCATGCTGACAAACATTTTCTCATACATCTTGTGCGCTGAGGTGCTTCCAATGATGCGGCTGATCTTCTTGAGACCTTTCAGTAGATGGCGCGGCGCCCCCTGGCTGCGCAACGCCTTCAGGCTGAGAGTTAGACCTTTTGCCAGATCCATTTTATGGTTTGACGTTTTCCACAGGTAGAGAATCTGCAGGACACGCTGCCTCGGTGGACAAGTGGAGACGACGGCCCTCACGTCATACTCTTGTACTTGAATCCCCGGCAGGCTGTTGGTCACCTTCATCAGGTCGTCAATGGTGAGGTTTTCCAGCACACTGCTGCGGGTGATTTTTCTCTCACAGTGGTTTATCCCTGGAGATACACAGTAGTAATGTTAATATGAGAAGATTTAAAAAAAAAACATCCATTTGTGCTTCTGATCTATACCTTGTATAATGCCAAAAAGCTTGTCCTTGTTCTGCTGCCGCCATAATCGCAGCAAGTGCAGGACCTGCTGTTGGGGACTGCAGGTCTTCTTCAGCCTCTCCAGGCTCTTGTGATCCACCTTCTGCCCAGGCAGGCTCTCTAGCAGCTTCTCCAGAGGAACCGAAGACAGATGCAGCGAGGACAGAGACTGGAAAACTGCTTCCTCACAGAGAATCACATCTGCAAGAGTTATAGAAAATATGCTTTAAAACCTGCTGGGTGGTACAAAATGTGGTTGTAAGTATCTGTTCCTCTCAGTTCAAGAAACATGCTCATGGTTTGGCAGCCCAAACAGGCACACAACACAGATTTTCAAGCGGACATCATTACATTTGAGTACAAGCAGTAAATTAGTGTTTGGGTTCAGTAAAGTTGAGATGTTGAAGAAATTCTTGCTTCCAGGACTTAAAAAACAAACTATGAAATCATTGTAAAACCACGAGCATCACCTTTCCCCAACAGCAGAAAAGTAAACCACACACTACAGCCTAATTTTAATCCAAACAAATCATAATCTGAGCTTGACCGATGTTTGGAAACAGTCAACAAAGTAACGCAAGGATAAAATTTCTCCAAAATTAGTTAAACCTGCATGTTTCTAAGGTAACCGTTGGAAAAACATTAACAGGGTCATACATATCCATTTCACAAATGTCTCAAATGACTGGCTACATGCTATTTAATATCATGGCAGAATAAGGCAATTTGTGTAATTCTGTTTCCCCTGTTCACATAGACAACAAACTAAACACACCAGTTTTTAGTGACCAGTGGCCAGTGGGAATTTCAGGTTCAGTTAGTAATTTTCAGTGTCATAAAGCGGTTTCACTTTTTACCTGGACCCTTTACTGCATAAACTTATGCTAACCTGACAAACCCCCCCCTGAGCAGGTACAGTTTCTGATTAGAAATATCATCCTAACATGCCATATTTTAACAAAAATCATTGTCCTTGAGAAAAAAAGCTGCATAACAGGGGAGTTAATTATTTCTCTTTGTTTTCTTTCCTGAAGTTCAACCATTCCATTTGACATTGGGAAATGCCTTCATGAAAGCAAAGCCAAATACTTCTGTTTCCTAAAACAGAGAATAATCATTCTGAAGTTTGTTACTACTAACTTTTTTTTAGAAAAAGAACCTAAATAAAAGATTCTACTTCTTGATTATAACACATGTCCTGCCAGTTTTATGTATAAAAATGACTGTGTCTGATGTCTTATGATGTGGTATTGGTACTAAGCTTTTGCATTTGTGTGTTCATTGTTCTTATGCTCATTTGATTTTTCTGTTTGTTTGTTCCAGCTTCCTGTGATTGGTTCTTTGTAACAGCACCAATGGTTTTACGTGAACACATACAGATCCAGTTCAAAACCTGGATTGACTTACTGAATTGATAACCAGCTTTGTAGCACCACAATTTCTTGACTGATCCCTCATTTTTAGGGTTAGTTTTAGCCAGATTGCTTAAAAAAAACCCTGGGTAAGATGAAACTGTTTAGTAGTAAAGAGCACTGCTGCACATAGACACTACTGTTATAACAAATCTCTGAGCATGGTCTCCTAAACTGAGGAACAAGATGTTTATGTATTCTGGTTTTATTTTAACCATGGCAACCTTGGCTCCATAAGCCACTTAAAATTTTCGTGATTAATAATTTTTTTTTGTTTTTAAAGAAAAATAGCATTGTATGGACAGTTAAAATTAATCATTTCCATCTCAATACATTCAATATTTTAGCCTTTAGACTTTCACTGGTGGTTTGACCAGTGAGCGGGAATGACTCATGTTAGCTCATGTCAGCAAACCTTTGAGTACTGCCGTGTTAATGTCTGCTAATACACAAATGTATTAATCTATATTCATTATCCTCTAAAACATTTCCATCACAAAACCAACAGCATCAACAAAACTCTCTTTGCCAAAATGAGTTAAACTGTTTTGTTTTGTTTTTTTTCCCTGTAGTAATTTTACTGTTAACCCATGTATCATCTTTTGGGGAAAAAAATCAGCCACACATTTATTTTTGTCTGCACCAAAAATAAATGAATAAATAAAAATACAGTCAACAAACATTGAATTTTTTTGAAAAAGCCTAAAAATCCTTCTACTTTTAAAATTTTGTCAGAATTTTATCAAATACTCTCGTAACCTCACAATAACTTTATTTCACACTCATGTTCCTTTGGGAAAAATTTACCACATTACACATTTGAATTACACTGTTAATACAACTTTTAATCTCATATTTATTACTGTATATAAAATAATGCATTCCTCTTAGTTTGTTTTCTTCTGCTTTTTACCTTTACTGCTAATTTTGCGATTTTTCATTTTAGCACACAAGGAGCCCCACCGCTCATCTTGACTGACAAAATCGTTTTAGTTTGGATGTAAAAAAACTAAAATTCACTTGTAATGTGCACAAGTGAACATTTAGTACTTAAAAATGTTTGACATGCATGCAGGCTGCAGGATGAAACACTCCACGGGTGGCGACATCTGACTGACGTTGATTTATCTGAAGGCCGGTTGCCATTATCAAATATTTCTGGGTTGGTATAAGCAAAAATATATTTTTTAAATTGTATTTTTAAGCTGTTAAATATGGTTGTTGATTTCCCCCCTACGGAACATGGTTATTAAGGATCATGAAGATAAAGATAAATACAAGCGTTAATGGTTAATACAACAGAAAAGACTGTACTAAATATTTTAAATTACATCATTATTGTGCATCAGTTTTCTTGTATTTGTTAATGTGTATTGCTCTTCAAATTTATTACAATGGAACCATCTACATCTTACATTGCTGTTACCTTGTGACGACCAGAACCAGAACCAAGAACCACCATTCTCATCAGTCTGAATCATTAACTCCACATGTTCCTCTGCATCAAACTGCCCAAAGTTGCAATTTTTGCAGAAGGCAATGTACATGAATCATAATGTGTATGTGTATCAATGTTTCCAGATTGATTTGTAGGCTTGACAACTATAATTTTAAAGGTATAAAAACAGACATTATGTTTTTTTTTTTAATTTTAGAGTCTGTTGGAGTTTGGTGTAAAGAGGATGCTGATTACATTTCTCGGAAGCCTTAATTGTGTAATTGTGGTTTTCTCACACTTAGTCAATCCACATCTGAATAACAATAGGAATCCAATTGCCTTCTGTTTCATATTTGTTGAAAATGTTAAAACCAGTGCAGAATTATGTGCAGACAGTTTGTGGTGGTGCACTTCAAATAAAGACAATTTGTGAAAGAAAATTTGAGGAAAACATCAACATTCCTGATGGTTAACAGCGTTGTGTGCTACATATTCTGTCTTTGCTAGAGCTCGGATGTATGTAGTGTGTGTGTGTGTGTAGGGGGGGTGGGGGGTGGGGGATTGAGGTTTCCCCTTTGAATTACATTTCAGTCCATGTCATAGTTTAGGGCTGAGTAACAAAGCCTAAAAGCTGGTTGTGTGCCTCATTTTGTCTTTGACTCAGTTCCTCTGTTACTGTGTTTGAGGATGTGACAGTTTAAACAGTAATTGATCTATCATGCTTCATTTTGAAAGCAGCACTATAAATATACATTTCAACTCTGGCTTTTCATTCTTTCGCTCCAGTTGGTTTTTTGAACTTCCAGGAATTAGGAAAAGAATGGAATCTGGATGACAAACCTGACCGAGGAAACCCCCTCAGCTTTTGGGAATGAAAATAACCATAAGATTGAAAAATAATCAGTTGGTGTGTGTGTGTGTGTGTGTGTGTGTGTGTGTGTGTGTGTGTGTGTG